GCTCAGCAGAAACCGAGAGGGGACCGATAAAGTCTTAGGTCCTTCTTAGGGGGCTTGGTGGGGCAGTAGTGACGTGCTTGGCTGTTAACAGAAAGGCTGGGGGGTTGAAGCCGCCAGGCTCCACAAGAGAAAGATGTGTCAGTCTGAAGATTTATAGCTAATTTTATGAAGTATTAATTATAGCTCAATAAAACTGGGAAAAAAGCTTTCTAGCTCAGGAAACCCTGTCCCACAGGGTCACTATGAGTTGGAACCCACTGACAGCAGGGGATTTGGGTTATGTATTTAATTTTCCTCCCTGGAGCCCTGCTGGCCGAGTGGTTATGCACTGGGCAGCTAACCGCAAGGTCAGCAATTCAAAACCACCAGGAGAAAGATGGGGCTTTCTACTCCCACGTAGAGTTACAGTCTCAGGAAACCAATGTGTCAGTCTGAAGATTTATAGCTAATTGTATGTGTATGAAGTGTTAATTAGAGCTCTATAAAACTAACTGCGGAAAAAATTCCAACTCAGGACCTACAGGGTAACTATGAGTCAAAATAGACGAGATAGCAGTTGACTTTGTCTTGGTAGCTTCTTAACTATGGGAGGGAAACGCGATTTCCCTTTTCCTGTCTAGGTGGGAAGGGGCTCTGGTGGCGCAGAGGGCTAAACACCAGGCTGCTAATCACCAGGTGAGCACTTCAAACCCACTGTCCCTGCACTCTGTGGAACAAGGATGAGGGTAAAAGAATTACAGTCTGGGGCGCAGAGAGGGAGGGGAAAAATGAGGAGCTGATACCAAGGGCTCAAGTAGAAAGCAAATGTTTTGAGAATGATGATGGCAACAAATGTACTTGACAAAATAATAATATTTATAAATTATCAAGGGTTCATGAGGGAGGGGGGACGGGGAGGGAGGGGGAAAAAATGAGGAGCTGATCCCAAGGGCTCAAGTAGAAAGGCAATGTTTTGAGAATGATGAGGGCAACAAATGTACTAGTGTGTTTGACATAAAATGGATGGATGGATGGATTGTGATAAGAGTTGTACGCACTCCCAATAAAATGATTGAAAAAAAAGAAAAAGGCATGGTGAAGATGGGGCAGGACTGGGCAGTGTTTCTTTCTTTTTTTTTGGTGGGGGGGCAGTGTTTCATGATGCTCTACATGGGGCTGCTATGGGCTGGGACCGATCCCGTGGCCCCCAACAGTGACAGCAATGGCAGAACCCAATGTTTTTTAAAAATTATAATTGCAGAACCCAATGTTTTTTTTAATTATAAAGAAATCATTTTATTGGGGGCTCTTATGACAATCCATACATCAAAAACAAAAAACCAAAAAAAAAAATCCATACATCAATTGTATCAAGCCCATTTGTAAATATGTTCCTACCATCATTTTCAAAGTATTCTCTTTCTACTTGTGACCTTGGTATCAGCTCATTTTCCCTCCCTCCTCCCCCTCTCACCCTCATGGACCCCTTATAAATTATTTTCCTATCTTACACCATCCACTGTCTCCCTTCGCCCACCTTTCTGTTGTTTGCCCCCCTGGGGTGTGTGTGTGTGTGTGTGTGTTATATGTCGTTCATTATAGTCCCTTCTCATTTCTTTCCCTTCTCCCCCCACCTTCCCCCTACCCTCCTGGTATCGGATACTCCCATTACTGAGGGGTTTATCTGTCCTGGGTCCTGTGTGTCCAGAGCTCTTATCTGTACCAGTGCACATGCTCCAGTCTAGCTAGATTTGTAAGGTAGAGCTGGGACCGTGATCATTGGGGGTGGGGGTGGGGGGAGGCATTAAGGAACTAGAGAATGCTGTGTGTTCCCTTGGGGCTGTGCTGCCTGCGCTGTCTCCTTCTTTTCTTGTGACGCTTCTGTGAGGGGGTGTCCAATTGTCTACAGTTGGGCTTTGGACCTTGGACTTTGTTCATTCCTGCCTGTTCATTCCACCATGGTGCTGAGCTGGAGTGGGGTCAGGGCACTTTTTCTTTTTCTGCCAAGGGCCATTTGGATATTTGTAATGTCATTGGAGGGCAATACAAAATTTGCAACTTAAAAGTCAGCCTGCTCTCACTGGTCAAACCATTGAATTAACTCATTCCTAATATGATGACTGGGAGCCCTGGTGGCATAGTGGTTACAGGTGGGGTTGCTAACCCCTAGGTCAACAGTTCAAACCCACCAGCCCCTCCTGGGTGGGGGGAGAGGCTTTCTACTCCCTCAAAGCCTTGGAAACCCACAGGGGCTGTTGTACCCTGTCCTATAGGGTCACGGTGCATTGGCACACCCAGGGGAAGCCCCGACAACTGTGGGCAGAGCTTTCCACGTGCAGGTCAGGGGTCAGAAAGGGCTCGGTGCTGACCGAATCTCTCTGGAGACTCAGGGTGGATTTGGGGCTTCCCCTGTAAACTGGAGCCCTCCGCATACCGAATTCAGAAACAACTGAAAACTCCCCGCCATCAAGTCGATGCCGACTCATGGCGACCCTGTGGGACAGGCTGGCACTGCCCCTTGTGAGTTTCTAGAGAGCCCCATCTTTGGGGATCTTGTCGTTAGCAGTCTAACGCGTACCCACGACGCCACCAGGGTTCCACATTTTGCAAACCTAGGGCTCAGAATTCTGCACACTTGGGGTTCAGAATGAACGTCCAGGGTGCTTAGGCTCCTGGGAGGTCTGACTGTGCGCAGTGTGTTTGGGTGCTCGGCGACCCCTTTGGGACCTCGTGGGGGAACAAGGCTTTGGGAAAGGAGAGTCATGGGTGGCCCATGGCTGGAGCCCCCCAATGCTCCTCTCTGCAGGCCCCGCAGCCCCGGCCCCGGATGAGCGCCCAGGAGCAGCTGGAACGCATGCGCAGACACCAGGAGTGGGCCAGGCCCCTCCCCTCCAGCTCCTCCCTCAGGCTCCTCCCCCTGGGCCGGACCCTGCCCCCGGCCCGACGCCAGCCCGACGCGGAGCCCAGGGTGAGGAGCAGAGGGTGGAGGGTGGGAAGGGGGGTGTCGGGTGATGACGCGGGTCTGAGCCTCAGTCGACCTCTCCTAAAAGTGGGGGTCCTCATCTGAACCTAGGTTCCCAGAGTCGCCCCGACGACGTGTGGCTGGGTGGAACGTCTGCATCTTGCCCCACCCCCTTGGAGGCGTGGTCTCCGGAGCGCCGCCCAGACCCGCCAATCACTGGTCATTGAGGCCCCGCCTCTCCATCCTTTGTGTAGGGAGATGACTGTTAGGTTCTGACTCCTAGGACCCCCATGTACAAGGGCACCAAACCCTACCCGGTCCTGTACCTGCCTTACAGGTATGGTCCTGTCTGAGCCCAGCGTCGCAGCCCGCCATGCCTAGCTCTCTACTCTAGGATTTTCCTTTTTTTTTTGGCTGTTCCTTTATCAAGCATGATGCCCTTCTCCAGGGACTGGTTCGTGATGCGAACACGTGAGATGAATGACGTCTCACCATCCTGGCCTCTAGGGAGCCTGCTGGCTGTAGGAGGTGACGGCAGATACCCTGGCTTGGGTCAGGCACACCTTAGTCCTCCGAGTCACATCTTGGTTTTTCAACGCTTTACAGAGGTCTTGTGCAGCAGAGCGACTCAATAGAATGCATCACTTGATTTCCCAAAGGCTGAAATACCAGTGACAGCTTCTAGTATTACAGCTACACGGGAGCCACCACTGTATGACAAACGGACACACAAGTGGTGGTCTACAGGGAGACGGAGACGAGTTATGGGGGCAACAGTGATTCCAGGGTAGGAAAATGCCCACCTTCCTTATGGGACAGAGGGGTTCAAGTCCCCATGACGTTGCCACCCTATGAAGTCCTGCATTTCCCCAGCCACCGCCGGCCGATCAGTGGAGACTTGCGTGTTTGTCTGATGCTGAACAGGTTTCAGCGGAGGCTTCCAGACTAACAAAGACGAGGAAGAAAGGCCTGGCGATCTCTTCCCCAAAACCAGTCCATGGAAACTCTGGTTCATAGCAGTTTGAGCTGGCTCGATAGCAGCTACCAACAATAGACATATGATCAATGCACTGCGGTGGCGGGTCGATTCTGATTCCTAGTGGCCCTGTAGGACAGGAGAACCGTTCCTTTGGGTTTGCGAGGTCCTACGTCTTTATGGGAGAAGATCAAACTTAGAATTCACTGCCATTAGTCAATTTCAACTCATAGCAACTCTATAGGAAGGACAGGGTAGAACTGCCCCTGTGGGTTTCCGAGACTGTATCTCAGTACAGGAGTTAAAGCCTTGTCTTTTTCCCTGGAGTGGCCAGTGGTTTGAAACTGCTCGCCTTGTAGTCAGCAGCCCAGTAACCACTAGGCCATCGGGGTTCAGTGGAAGCAGAAGGCGGCCTTACCGTTCTCCCGAGGAGGGGCTAGGGGGTTCCAACTGCCATCCAGGCTCCTTGGTACATGATGCCAAACTCAAACCAAACCCACTGCCATTGAGTTGATGCTAATTCCTAGGCAGGGTTTCCACGCCTGTAAATCTTTTGGAGAGCAGACAGGCTCGTCCGTTCTCCCTCAGAGAAGCTGGTGGTTTTGAACCCCTGACCATGCAGTTAACCTTGTTGGATTGTTTGTGCCATCAGCGGAACAGGAAACGCACAACTCTACGTCTAAGTTGTGTTAGGGGGACAAACGTGACAGCTCATCTTTTTTGAAACAAAGGGCGGAAATCCGGAAGGCACTGCCTAGAGTGATTCAGAGGCTGATCAAAGTCACGAGAGGCCTGTCATTTCCTAGAATCGGGGGCGGAGGGAAGCGGAGGGATTTTTTTAACCGTCCATCGCTTTTATCCTGGAGCTCGCAGGGGTCAGGTAAAGGTCAAAGCATGGTAGCCTTCTGGGTGATTTTATCCCTTCTCCTGGTGACCTTGTGGTTGGCTTCCAACGCAGAGAAAGATGAGGCTGCCAGCTTCCCTGCAAACTGCCACTCTCTTGAAACCCTAGGGAGCAGTTTTGCCCTGCCTTGCATGGAGCCCTGGTGGCTTAGTGGGTTACTTA